CGATTACCCATATCTATGATTAGCCCATATCTACGATTAACCCATATCTACGATTAACCCATATCTATGATTAGCCCATATCTACGATTAACCCATATCTATGATTAACCCATATCTACGATTAACCCATATCTATGATTAGCCCATATCTACGATTAACCCATATCTATGATTAGCCCATATCTACGATTAACCCATATCTATGATTAACCCATATCTACGATTAACCCATATCTATGATTAGCCCATATCTACGATTAACCCATATCTATGATTAGCCCATATCTACGATTAACCCATATCTATGATTAACCCATATCTACGATTAACCCATATCTATGATTAGCCCATATCTACGATTAACCCATATCTACAATTACAGTAAATAATAATCTTTTGCATGTTTCAGTGCCAGATTTCGCATAAAAAAAACATTATTAACATTTGCAGCAATGTTTAATTGATGTAAAATTTATTATGAACCATATTAACTTAAAAAGTACCGCATCAGTTACGCTATATATTTTGACTCTACCAGCTAACAGTATGAGACACGGCATAATTTCTACACCTAAACATAATTCACCACCATTCTCTTAAATGTAATCAATATTTTTTCGAAAAACATTTAAAACCAACCCTATTATTATTGGTCGAGAATGCAATATTCTTTAATATCTTTAAAAGTTGTTTTGTTTAATTCCACCTTAACCTGCAGCGGAAATCGATTCAGCTCGGCAGTTACGTTTGGACTTTCTTTGAGTCAGTGTGTGTTATGGCCAGACACTACCTCATTTTGGCTTATTAAAAACAAAATGTATCAACTACACCATTGCTGAAGCGCATAGATTTTCGCTGTAAATGTTCGTGAAAAATTATATTTTTTTTAATACAATTTATTATTAACATCCGTTTTTTGTTTATTTTACGTGTTTTTTTGACTTAGTAACATCTATGAAAATATATTTTTACAGTGCGTTCCGAGGTAGGCGGGATATGTTAACATCGATACGAAACTATATAATTGAGAATAAACAAGGTAAACCATTATGTATACATGGTGTGTCAGGTTCCGGGAAGACATCCGTAATGGCAATGGCAGTGAAAAACGCATTAAAATGGTCAGGAGAATCCAGCATATGTGTATTTCGTTTCCTTGGAACATCACCACAAAGTTCAACTATTCACCAAACTTTACAAAGTGTCTGCAGCCAGGTATGGGCATTGACGTTTTATTAGTCCCCGTTCGGACGTAGTCCGAAAACGGGGACTTATGTTTTGCCCTGTGTGCGTCCGTTCGTCCGTGCGTCCGTGATCACCTGTATCTCGAACATGCATGGACC